ACATTTGTTGCATTTGGCCCCCGTTAAAGGAACGGTGGGAGTCACCTCCCTGTTTGCTCTTAAAGGGACACCACGATTCGCTCCTCCCCTTTAAGGGAACACACATTTGTTCCTCCTCCCCTCCCTCTCTTAAAGGGACGGGGGACTTGCGCCGGAGGATGGTGGGACTCACCTGCGTCTGCCTCTTTGCTGGGAGGAGTCATCCCCTTTAAGAAAAGGGGGTCTTTCAACCATTCACCTCTTAAAGGGGCGGCAGCCAATGTAGACCCCCCCACCCCCTTGCTCAAGGGGCAAAGGAAACGATCCAATGCCCACCCCTTAAAGGGGCAGGGAAGCATCTACTCCCCCCTCTTAAAGGGGAGGGGGCAAATGTCCGCTCCCAACTGTTAAAGGGGTGGTGGAAACGGTCCCCTCCCACCCCTTAAAGGGGCGGCCCTTACCCTGGTAGTGGAACTTGAAGACGCTGGGGGTGGTGGCGTGGTAGCTCTGGAAGTGGATCAGCACCTGATTGGTCGGGCTGCGGATCACCTGACCCTCCACCATCAGGGACTCGTTGGCCAGGACGGCCGGCGTCTCGCCGCCCAGCCCCTCCACGGTGAGGGAGTCGTCCTTGGACAGGTTCAGGGTCTGCACCTGGGGGGGAGCAGGGTCAGAACCAGGATCCCGGTGCCCCCTGGACCCCCCCCACCCCCAACGTCCCCCAACCGCCTCCTGCCCCAACCTCCCCAGCCCAGCCCCCCGGACTGGCCCCTCCTGCCCCCCAATTGTCCCCCCTCCCAGTCCAGCCCCCACCAGTCCCTTCCCCCCACCCTGCCCTCCCACAGCCCTGGCCCAGCCCCCCAACATCCCTTCCCACCAAACTCCCAGCCCCCCCCTGCTCCCCTTACCTGCACCTCAACCCCGTAGCCCATGTAGACCCGGATGCTGTAGGTACAGTCCAGCCCCCCGTCGAACGCGGCCCCCATGTAGTCCGGGGACTCCACGTAACCCTCCACCTCCGAGATGTTGTTATTGCAAAGGACTATGGGAAGGGGAAACTGAGTCAGACAAACCTGGAATTCTTTCCCCCGCCCCCCCGAGCCAGCCAATCCCTGCCCTAGGGCTGGAGCCGGCGCCCCCAAGAGCGGAAAGGCCCCTGCTCCATCCC